CGGAACTCCAACCCTAGGCTATTTCAGCCTCAGAAGACAGAGGGAGGAGAAAACAGGATGGGTGGTGGGCTGGGGAGGGACCCTCATCCCCAGCCAGTGGGGACTGAACCCTGGCCAGGATGCGGGGGGTGGAGGGAGGCCGCATCCTCCTTGCTCGCCAGGCCCAGCCCAGCAAAGGGGGACATGCAGCTCTGAGGCCTTGCTCTGGGAGGCGGGAGGTGGGGGCGCCAAGGCCGCATGGGCCGCGCTAGGCTGGGCTGCCTGGGTCGGGCCGGCTGCGGAGACCACCTCGCCGGGCCGAGTCCAGCCTAGCCGCGCCTGGACACAGCGAGCAAGTCAGCGGAGAGGGCCCCTCGCCTGGGGAGGATGGAGGAGGAGCCAGGCAAACACCATACCTGCCCGAGCCTGGAGCTCGGTCCGCGGGGCCAAACCTGTCCCGGCCGCCACTACCCCTTCGCCCCCGGCGGCGACCTTGCGCCGCCGGCAGCAGCGTTCCTCCCCGCAGCCAGGTGCGGGCTCTGGCCGGCGCGGCCGGGCATTGGCTGCAGATGAGCTCATCCCCGGCGTTAGAATAAACCACCAATCACCGGCCGTCTCGGCTTTCTCCCGCTTTCTCAGGGTCTGCGCTGAAGGAGCCGGGAGGGGGCGCGGCTGAGAGGGCAGTGGGGGGCGGGTAGGAGGAGGGAGAGATCTGCAACTACCCAGGGGTGCAGGGGACCCTGATTCAGAAATCTAGGCGCACCGACAAAACCCATGCCACTTCTAGGACTTTTCTCATTCATTACTTCATTCGTTTATTCTATTATTTAGTGATTATGTATTGATAGTCATCTCAACATCTCGAGGAGCCAGATGTTGAGATACAGCGGCGATGGACTAGACGGCTGTGCTCACGTCCCCGCAGTCCTCACGGGGTTTACAGTCTAGTGAGGGTACAAGGATTACAGAATTAAACGGTCGAGTTGGTATTTCATTTTGCCGATGTATTTATCACTGTTAGCATGCTATATAATTTACTTTTTTGTTTCTATGTTTTTTCTTTCCTACCCCTAGTGTAAGATCCACATGGCCAAGGTGTGTCTGCTTTGTTCACTGCCGTATCCCAAGTGTGTAGAATCACATCTGGCACATAGTTTTACTTAAATATTTGCTGAATGAGTGAGTGAACTCTAAATATGAGAAAGAATTCATCAGAAAAAGAAACAACGAGTGTAAATACCTCAACAGACTAAGAGAGGAAAAATAACACTTGCTCATTAAACATAAAGCCATTTGATAAAAGTTAATGATACAGTACCCGTTCATGATACAGACAACCTCTTAACTTGCTTAACAAACCTTAAACCAACTCAAGCAGAACCGAATGAGAGAAAATGGAGGTGATGGGGGTGAGGTGTAGGTCTCAAGAAAGCCAGATCAGGGCTCAGCGCCTGTGGCTCAAGTGGCTAAGGCACCAGCCATGTACACCCAAGGTG